AATATTTTTTAGAAAGGAGGGTGTTTAAAAAAAACAAACAAATGTACGTACATTTATCTTTTTATTTCTACTTTATGCATGTTTATACTGTTATTAACTTTATGAAGTTTAATGAGAAAACAAAGTAAATTGAAATTACCTTTACTAGTGATTAATGAGATCTTTGAGGCTGATGCTGCGAGACTAAATATTTGATATCTGGTTCGATTTTCATAAGGAACAAACAAAGGTCTCCTCTTTCGGTGGTATTCAGATGATTTCTCTGTTTGCTCATAATATGATTTCTTATCTGTGCATCAGCTCCCCTCCTCTCCCTCCTTAATTCCCCTACCCAACTTTTTTCCCCCTTTTTTCTATTTTTTAACCTTCCTTATAGCAATGACCAGTAGGAAGGATGAGCTAGGTAGCCCACTTACTATTATTAGCCAACAACAATTCTCTCCTTTTCCTTTTTTCTCCTTTTTTACAAGTACTCTGCTCCTTCTTTCTCCTTTTTACAAGTACTCTGCTCCTTCTTTCTCCTATTCTTCAAGTACTCTGCTCCTTCTTTCTTCTATTCTACAAGTACTCTGCTCACAGACAAACACATACACACCCTCACACATACACTTACAGACACACACACTCACAAACACACACTCACACATACACTTACAGACACACACATATACTTACAGACACACACACATACACACTCACACATACACTTACAGACACACACTCACAGAGAAACACATGCACACAGACAAACATACACACACTGACACATACACTTACAGACACACACACACACACACAAATACTTACAGACACACACACATACACACTCACACATACACTTACAGACACACAAATTATTAATATTAAATGTCCACCCAACCTCCCTACCTGGAGAGCTGGTGTGGATCTGTCCCTGGGGTCCAGTGGAAAATCACTTCGGCAGGTGGCAGAGTTCTAATCCGAGGCAGCGAGGGAGCTCTAACCTCTCTGCTCTGCTCCCTCGCGGGCTGTCTACTGATGCCAGGAGCCGGAATATGACGTCATATTCCGGCTCCCGCGGCATCAGCAAACATCGCGCGAGGGAGCAGAGCAGAAAGGTTAGATTAGAACTCTGCCGCTGGGTGGTGCAGAAGGTGGCCTGGCAGGAGGGAGCGCTTCCCTCCTGTTGGTCACTGAAATCTTGCACCCCCAGGCCGCTCACGCCTGTCCGCCCACTCTAAAAAGGAGAAATCCTCTCAAAAAAGAGGATTTAGCCGCCAAAATCCCTACCGTCCACCTGGAATCCTGAAACGCCCACTAGTGGGCGGTAGGGACCAGGTTGATGACCCATGATCTATCCAAAGTCATCCAACCTTGGATGGCAGTCTTAGGCTGCAGGTTGGACATAATGTGTGAGTGCATCTGCTTCATTTCAGAGTAGCTACAGAGAAGATTGGCTTTGGATGCTGAGTAGAGCCAGTAGGGTTTATCAGACCATAGTATATTACGGGTGTTTAACTATGCATTAGATACAGCTATTAGCCTTTGTAACTGGACCTTACTGGTATTGATTGTGAATAAGTATTTTAATTGATACTTTGTTAACACATCATAGGTTTTAACTGTAGGTTTGTCTGTGGTTGCGTACTTAAGAGGAAATGCATACAGTAATTTGTGGCTAATTATCGATGTGAAAAAGGCGATGCTAGAAAAACATGCCCTAAGCAGAAACACCTTTATATTCAGCCGCACACAAACACACACACGGTCAGATAAGTCTGTTCCTGCATTGCTCTTTTTATGTGAATCTCTACTAACTTTCAACTATATTCATGTATATATGTATATATATTTTTTTAACTTCTTTATTTTTGTTGTGCAGTTGGTTACATGTTATCGTCATACGCCACAACAGACTGTTTGAAGATGTGTTTAGGTTTGTCAGTGGCATGAGTGATTGCACAACTTTACATAATTATAACAGGTTTAGCTAAATAGTAACATCGTTCGCACATAGTGAGGTGGTCTTCGCTTTACATTGCTAGAGTAGTTTTGTTAGTTTGGTTGTGGTGTGGTGATGTGATTTGCTATGTAGTAGTAACTGGGTTGTGTGTGTTGTCTATACGGGTAGTGCTACTCTTGTATAGGCTATGCTGCAGTGAAAAACCAAGTAACTATGCTAAGGTTTGTCAATAGTATAAGGTGGCATCACTACACAGTCTTGACGTTAATGTAAATAGTTGTGTTTTGAGTAATCTGTGGTACCTGTGAGAGTTTGTTTAGTCCCTACCCTTATATGCTCGTTGTGTGGTCGTAAGGAAGATGAGCCCCTTGCCAGACATTAAGTCCCAGTCCTGTGTGGGCTGGGTGTGGTCCCTCTGTGCTGTCTGTGTATGGACTGTATGCCTGAAAGTGACCCTACTGGGTGGGTGGTGGTACCTGAGGGATTAGCATGCTCTGCTGTCCCTGTGGGCTGTTTGATTGGTAACATGGCCTTCAGTAACGAGAGTTAAATTAAAATAGCAGTAAGGAAAATAAACAGGAATAGCCAGATTGCATCACTTGGAGAAAATAGAGTTATAGATAACAATAACGATTTATAACTGTACGTGTGAGGCAGGGTAGCATTTCTTTTGTAAGCAGCTTGTGTGCCGTTTCCCATATCTCCTCCAGGAGCCATTGCGGACTGCATGTGCTGCTCAACAGATCCAGTTATCCCCAATGGGCCCAAAGGTCTTGTGGAGAGGCATTGAGCATGTGGGTGTTCCCCAGTGTCCTCTGGAACCAGAAATGCCTAGGCTGAGTCCAGTGTTATCCCCTGGGGTTTCGGGTTGCCGTTGATGTGCGGTCGCAGTGCGTTAAGGGAGGTTGTGAGTCCCTGGTAATCAGTACGTGGTCGCAACTTCTGCCTCAGGTTTTCAGCCCTGTGGCAGAAAAGGTGTTATCTTCGCTGGGTCCCAACATTGGGCCGTGGAGGAGGAGGTCCCCGGATGCCCTGGAGGAGTGAAGGAGTCCTCTGGCAGGCCGAGTGTTGTGAGTAGCCACTCCGCTCCCTGAAGTTCTGTTACTGTGTAGAGCACATTATTTCTCTGGACCTGCAGCGCCTACGGCGTGCGCCATTGGTAAGTTATGCCGCTTTGCCTCAGGAGTGCCGTGAATGGTTGGAGGGATCGCCGCCATTGAAGAGTGTCCCCGGATAGATCCGTATAAAAGGTAAGGGCCGCATTCTCGAAGGTGTATGGTGTTTTTCCTTTGAGGGTTGCGAGTACCGCTGCCTTGTCTGCACCCGTGCGGAACTTCACTACCACATCTCTGGATGCAGAAGCCGGGTCTCTTTGTGGCTTGGGGACCCAAAAGAAAGCATCAATTGCGGTATTTTTGGCTTGTTTCGGTGTCAGGATTACTCCGATTAGCCTACGTACCAGATGCGGAGTTCCTCTGTCTGGATATCATCGGGGACTCCCCTTATTTTTACGTTGTTGCAGCTTCTGAGATCCTCCAGGGCCGTGAATCATAGGATAGTGGCCTCTTGTTGTTGTTTAAGGGCCTGTACCTCTGTCCGGAGCTCCAGTATGGCCTAAGCCTGTTTGTCTGATGAGGCCTCCAGTACTCCGATGCAGTTCACCATACCCGTCAGGTCCGTTCTTAGCTGGGCCATGTTGGCTTGCAACACTTTCTGCAGATCGCCCAGTGTCTCCGTGGTAGCCGGGTCGGGTAGCCCCTTTTTCGGGGTCGGCTGCGTTAATGGGGCAAACATTCCACCCAGGTAGTCCTCCAGGCCCAGGTCGTCTGAGGAGTCAGTGTATTCAGCAAGATCCGCGGCCATTTTGGGCCCATGTGCTCCCTTCGCCTGTCGGAACAAATCTCCGATATCTGGCCCGGTTTTGGGTTTATCTGGTCTCTGTTTCTTTGTCTTTCTCCCCAAATCCACTGTGGGTCAGTGGGATATCTTTATTGCGCTTTGTATAGGCATTATACGGGTGTTTTAAGCAATTTGCACAGAGAGCCCATCTATGTGTGTCTATCTTGTTCGCTTGCTTCATATATGTATATTTAATATCCAAAAAATGGTGGCTGCACACCTCGAGCTTCGTTTAAAATCCAAATGGTTTATTAGGTATACATTAAAATCGAGATCAACGTTTCCGCCCTATTATGGGTTTTCCTCAGGATCAAATATTACATACAAATGTGCTATGCAGTGTAAACGGACTTATATACTATAAAGGAAAAAAGTTAATTGAATAACTTACCCCAGCTGGTGCGGAAGCTATGCATAGCGATCAGCAGAACGCCGGTCGGGCTTCCGCACCAGCTTGGGTAAGTTATTCAATTAACTTTTTCGGAAAAAATTTTGGACAGTCTAAGTTTGACTGTTTTTTCAACTTGACTATTTCCTACTATAAACTTTAACAGTATACCTATACCATTTATTGATAATTACTAAACTTGCTTTGTATGTTTTTTTTTTAAATATTGGTTAAATATTACTAGCTGCTTTGAAGTTTTTTCATTGCATATTGATTATATAGCATCAATAACAATTTGAAGGGCCCATTTTTATTTTCTGCACAGTTGAAAACTCGGTATGTTTGGTTTTATAGCTTTCATTAAAGGATTAAACATTGTGGTGCAATACCAACATGAAAAATATATTTCATATTTTCGAGTGATCATGAAAGATAAATGAGGGGCCAGGGAAAATGGTTCTTTGCCACCAGAGAACCTATAGCTAATGCCAAAGGGAGTTGTAGTCCTGTATGTTAAACCCAATAAATATGTACTACAGAGAAACACCTTTTGTAAACCAGGATTTTCCAACTTTGGCCTTCCAGGTGTTGACAGCTTTTGACTGACAAGAAATGATGGAAAATGTTCTCCAGCAACACATGCAGGTCCAAGGTTGATCTTCATTGATTTTCATAAACCAATGCCCTCCTTTTTCATTCCTGCATCGACTCTTATCACACCATGCATGAAGAAACCAGGTTACATGAAATAAATATATAACTGACACAGAGAAATGTTGCAAAATCTCAAGTTTTTTTATTCAAAGTGCCACTATCAGAAAAAATCTAGACTGTGAAATGAAGACTTTTGATTCACATTTGAAAATAAGAACATGCTGCAATGATACTAATTTGTAATTGAAGACAAAATTACACTTTTTTTTTCAAAACTAGGAAACGATTTGTCTCACTGAACTTGACGCTGATTGTTCACTGCTTTGGAAATGAATATAATGAAACAATATTTTTTTTTACATTTTAGAATTGGCGAATGGGTTTCTTCACTTAGATCACTGATGTATTTTTGCCTCTTCTAGTAGTCTTCCAGTAGTTTGTAAAGAGTAAGAATGGGGAAATCACAGCACATTTAGATAGCAAATATCATTGCCACACTATTAAAAATAATAAATTTATTGAATGTACAAGCTAAAACAATAGATCTTAAAATAAATAAGTATTCATTTTACACTGGGTATTATATAATACACTTCATCTTCATTTTCAATGAATGAAGTTTAATGGATAGCATAAGGAAGTTCTCATTTACGTCTTCTTTCATAATTCTGTAGTGTATTTCTTTCTGATGACCCTAGAAAAAGAAACAGATTTTTGTAAATATACATATATATATTTATAAATACATATATAAACGATATAATAGCCAAGCAGACAACCGATAATTGTGAAATATGTACAATTGGAAAATAATGCCATCAAAATCATAACCCACAAGACCAAAAGTGATTTAGTATTTCTCCAGATCTCTCAGCATTATATTACCCTAATACATACTTTAGTGTTGTGAATATTTAATGTTGCATTAATTTTTTTATTTAAATATATATATATATATTTCCTGCTATTCCAGCTTCTGTTTTATGCAATACACAAACACATACAAGCATATACACACACAAACACAAATCTGCTTTTTTTAGTGCATCACTGGGACACACGTGTTGCTAACTCCTGGGAATTGATACAAGTTACACTACCAGGCAGCAGCCATTCTGTAGACCATGGGTCCTCAAACTCCGGCCCCCCAGATGTTGCTGAACTACAACTCCCATGATTCTTTGAATTACATAGATAGCCAGAGGATCATGGGAGTTGTAGTTCAGCAACATCTGGGGGGCCAGAGTTTGAGGACCCATGCTGTAGACACTTAAACTAATTCAGTCTCTCTCCCATAGTGTCATACAAGGAGAGGTAGTCTCATCTATAAAGGGAAGCTGCCATTAAGTGAACATGATCAATCGGTCTCTCATCAATCTCAATTAGAAATATGTACTGGTGTTCCCCTAGGACTAATGGTATTGATGGACAGTGCACAATACAGTGATTAAAGATACTGAAAGACAGCTAAGATACACAAACAGACACATGTATATAGAAATATGGATATAGATAAAACCAGAGGCAAATAGGAAAAAGTTCTCCAGGCACTCAAGGTGTTCAAACCATAGGAAGATTTATTAGGTCAAAAAAGTGACAGAGCAGCAACGTTTCAACCTGCTACGAGGTCTTTGTCAAGCTAATAGATAACATCAGATATATAAACAGATTGTTTTAGAAAGACAGGGATCACTGGCTGGCTGTATGGATGGATAGATGGATAACGATAGATAGATAGATAGATAGATAGATAGATAGATAGATAGATAGATAGATAGATAACGATAGATAGATAGATAGATAGATAGATAGATAGATAGATAGATAGATGGATAACGATAGATAGATGGATAACGATAGATGGATGGATAACAATAGATAGATGGATGGATAACAATAGATAGATAGATAATGATAGATAGATAGATAGATAGATAGATAGATGGATAGATAGATGGATAACGATAGATAGATAGATAGATAGATGGATAACGATAGATAAGTAGATAGATAGATAGATAGATAGATGGATAACGATAGATAGATAGATAGATAGATAGATAGATAGATAGATGGATAATGATAGATAGATGGATGGATAACGATAGATAGATGGTAACGATAGATAGATGGATTGAAAACGATAGATATATAGATAGATAGATAGATAGATAGATAGATGGATAATGATAGATAGATAGATAGATAGATAGATAACAATAGATAGATAGATAGAGATAGATAGATAGATAGATTGATAGATAGATAGATAGATAGATAGATAGATGGATAACGATAGATAGATGGATTGAAAACGATAGATAGATGGATGGATAATGATAGATAGATAGATAGATAGATAGATAATGATAGATAACAATAGATAGATAGATAGATAGATAGATAGATAGACAACGATAGATAGATAGATAGATAGATAGATAACGATAGATAGATAGATAGATAACGATAGATAGATAACAATAGATAGATGGATTGAAAACGATAGATAGATGGATGGATAATGATAGATAGATAGATAGATAACGATAGATAACGATAGATAGATAGATAGATAGATAGATAACAATAGACAGATAACGATAGATAGATAGATAGATAGATAGATAGATAGATAGATAGATAGATAGATAACGATAGATAGATAACGATAGATAGATGGATGGATAATGATAGATAGATAGATAGATAGATAGATAGATAGATAGATAATGATAGATAACAATAGATAGATAGATAGATAGATAGACAACGATAGATAGATAACGATAGATAGATGGATTGAAAACGATAGATAGATGGATGGATAATGATAGATAGATAGATAGATAACGATAGATACCGATAGATAGATAGATAGATAGATAACAATAGATCAATAACGATAGATAGATAGATAGATAGATAGATAGATAGATAGATAGATAGATAACGATAGATAGATAACGATAGATAGATGGATGGATAGATAGATAGATAGATAGATAGATAGATAGATAGATAGATAGATAGATAGAAATGTTAACATGAACTTGTCAGGAGAAGATCAAAGTAACATTTGCTTAAGCACTGAATATATTGTCTTCTTTTTGTTTTACTAGTCATTGCAAATCTTAGGATAACAGTTATTTTACCTTAATCCCAATACCCAAAGTACCCATGAAGCTCTTATTACAGTGTTTACTTATTTTGAAACCACTGTTGTTTATTTCAGTCTTATGTATCCTATAATTAATCTCTTGTCATTTATTTTCCATTGTAATGTGGTTTTAATATAGAAAACAGCAATATGAACATGGGGACTTAGTGGGTACCATGGCATTTAGTAGAAGTTATATTTATTGTATTACCACAGTGATCTATTGTTCTAAAGAAAAAAAAGTAAGAAATGAAGGAAGACAAATAAACTGAAGAGATAACAGCCGAGAGAAATGAAATTAATAAAGAAAAAAATATGCTTATAAAATATGCACGAACAAACAAAGACATTACTGTAACATTCTCTCTCAAAAACACATTAAGTCCCCTAATCTACTTTCCCACCAATTAAAAAAATATGTGGTGATACTTGAGCATTTTTGTTTATATAGTCTGGATGCTAATAAGACGTAGAGAAATAAGAAAAAGAAAGCAGTTAAATTAAAGAAGAATAAAAAGGTGTATTTGATATGAAAGTAACCAGAGAGGATATAAAGCATGTTATTTTCTTATTATGCTAGGCAAGAGAATAATGGAAACTGGGCAACTCAAATAGATTGGGTCCCCACTCAGTTTTCAATCTAATTTAGCCCAACTTGTACTATTACAGAGAGAACCTACGCAATTTGCATCTTACATTGATTCCTCCCAAAAGTGCAGTTCTTATAAAAAAATGTTAGCTGGTTAACTTTGCATAAAAGGTAAACAACTCCAGACAATTGTTTTGACCTTGTCAGGTTTAGTCATTGAGGTGTGCCTGATATGCAATTTGTCTGAAGTTCTGTGTTTGTTTGCAAATGTCTGGAGTGTGTCTGATTTGGACTGCCTTTCTGAGTGGTATTGGTCTGATATGAAAATGGTTTAGGTTGTCTCTATAATTGCATAAGTTGAGCTTAAACTAGCTGGAGAACTGAGCCCGACCCACCAAAATACAAGATATTTGAGTTCTTGTGTGTTCTCAGTATTCTCATGTGTTCTATATTGAATTTTAAAGATTTGTTCTTACTAGTTACAGTACGCTGTTGTTAAAATGATCTCACTTGTGGTTTAATCTCATTGTAAATGTTTATTTTTGAGTGTCTGGCATGGTTAAGTATTAATGACATGTTTAAGTATGCACAATTTATACGGTTGGATCAGAATTATTCTTCCTTAACTGAGCTCATGACATGTATGGGTTATACTGTCTATATAACCAAAGCAGGTAACATTGGATTGACGACTATGCATATTTGGTCTGCCTAATGAGCAAAATATTATATTAAGTTTCCAGACAACTAGGCACATAAAATTTGCTATTTCTCTGATGTATTCCCATCATAGTTGTTACGCAAAAAAACAACAAAAAACAATAAATCAATTCATGATATCTGGATAATATGCAATCTTAAAGTGACGTAAATTGCATAACAATGATAAGTAAAACCGGACAACTGTTTTAACTTTAGCATCCATGTCTAACTGCTGATAAAGTCTAAAATTATGAATAACTGTTATGGTAGGGAGTCATTAAAAAAACCTAATAACTTCCAAGATAACATCCCCTTCCCATTTTCTTGGAAATATAAATGTGAGACAAAAGGAAATGTATCATCCCACCTACTAGGGGAGAATAACTGCTCAAGTATCATAGTTCCTATAGTAGAAATAGGATAGGGTTAGATAAGGTCCCCATGGCTAAAAATAACTAGGGACATTGTTCTCCTTGTATAGATATTGCTTTTAGATGATCACACTCAGGAAATAGTGATAGATTACCGACTGCTCTGGTGAAAATGTATTATGTATCCTACTTTGATTTCATCAGGTTCTCAAGAGAAATGTCACTTCCTGTGGGTGTGGATCTTCACCATAGAGGAAGATGTAGGTTCCTCAGGCTCAGGGTGACTGCATATCACAACTGTGACTGCAATTTGTTATTTTATATTAATACACGCTATATTATATAGTTTCTGTTCCTTTATTGTAGGTATGCTGTATCTCCATATATTGATTTTTCTATATATCTCCAAAAATCTCCATATTTGCCAGATCTTCAAGAGCCTTCTGTCAGACAGACTTCAGAATTCCATGGTGGCATATTTTTTAGTATAGAAGCACTGACCTCCAGATACTAGGCCCAACTGTTTTACATGTAAAACCAGATATTATTCAGGACACTAACTGCAGCATAGGATAATTTCCTTCAACTGTTTTAAGCAAACTCCCAAAGAAACAATGAGATTTAAAGGGAACTGGAAAGTTTTCCTGAATAAATCTGATGAATATAAACTCCTTGTTTCTACAAATGTAAGCATCCTCAAAGCCTTAAGCCAGGTGTAGTATCCCAGACAATCTTCTGTGGTATCATGGTTGTTCCAAAAAAATGGAATGGACATGAAGGAGTGCAGTAACGTGTTCTATTCAGTCACACTTGTTGCCTGCTCAGACGTAACTTGGAAAAATCAAGTTTTAATTGATTAGAACCTTAATTGCACCTAAAGGAAAAAAAAAACTGTGGCATACAATTCCAATTATAACTGGCCTCTAGTTGAAGCTTGCAGAGTTCCAATGGGTTAGAAGAATGGGAAATTTTCAACAGTCAGCCTGCTTCCATACGGTAGATGAATATGTCCACCAAATAGGTTCGTTCCAGTGCTCTCACTTTTCTTCTGGTTTGCAAAATTGAGAATTGATGAGACCACATTTTAAACTGGCAAAGTAAACCTCAATGAGTACTTCGTAAATTCAGATCTTGTTGCCCATTGACCTGAGAATTGTTCCAACTAGCATCCTGTTTCTTCTTTCTTTATAGACTGAACTTGGCAAAAACGTCAACATAAATAGATTTTATCATGTGAATAGCTGGTGTCATATGAACTCTAAAGAGTTCATATATAAAAACTGGGCAGACTAGATGGGCCGAATGGTTCTTATCTGCCGTCACATTCTATGTTTATATGTTTCTATAAAATAAATCAAAGAGTAGAAATGATCCACTGTTCAGATATGAAGGGTTACTCTAGGTTTAAGGTTGTTCCTATGTGTTAAATACATTACATTGCAAATAAGAGCTTTTACAGTCTGTGTGTACGAGGTAGTAGCTCAGCCAATTAAGATGCTCTTATTTAATTTAATGGAGTTTAATCCTATTCTTAAACATTCCAAGTTAAGGCATTATGGATTAAGTGTTAGTTAATAAGCATTTGACAGCAGTTCTGTATCAATGTTCTGTATTATATTTCTAGTGTTGTTTGACATGAAAGCTGAACTACAAGGTTTAATTAGGATACTCCATTACATTACTAATTAAATCAATGTTTAACAATCCACACAGGCTGATTTCCTGATTGGTGGGCTTGCCCAGCGATACAGCTGTGTGGATCAACAGCAAAAACATATGTAAGGAAGGCTGAACTTGATGGACGCAAGTCTCTTTTCAGCTAGGTAACTTTGTAACTATGTAACATGTCTCAGAGAATAATTGGGAGATTTTGAATAGACTGGAGCCTAACCCCAGGAAAGGTGTTCTAACATTTAAATCTTCCAAATCTTACCACTAAAGCTACAAAGATAATGTTTCATATGCTAACTGCTATCAAATTATTAATCGCAAAAAACTGGAAGTCTCTTAAGGTACCATCTTGGCCTCAAATAAAAAAAATCAGATAACACAATGTGAATGCCCTGGCGTTTATAATGGATATACTTATATACTTTAAATCTTATCATGGTTTATGTTTTGTATCTATGTTACATATACGTATGTATATTACAATTTCAGCAAACTCTGTTATTTTGGATATATAAACATACCTGCAGATGCTGATAAATATTTATACTATATCTATAACTTTAATGAAGAAAAATTAATAAATAAATAAATCATTTTTTAAAGCCTATATCAATAAATAATGTGCAGAAATATTTATTGCAAAAAGCATAACATGATGTTTTTTGTTGTTTTTTTTTTTTACTTTTTTTTAACTATCACCATAGATAAGAGGGATACATACCAGAGTATAAAGATCTTTTGCCCATAAGTCCATAAAAGGCATCTGATTTAAACCCTGCAAAATATACATTTGATGGATGGTGTTTCTGAATGTATTTTTCATATCAACATCTTTCTTTAAATGGGCTTAAATATTTTCGTAACAAATTATAGTTTGCTGAATAAAATACCTGGTTTCACACAAATATTCTGTCCAGCTAGTATACTAACACTTAAACTAGTAAAAACATTAAAAATTTAAAATTGACTGGCTCATCCGTTAGCTTCCATTTATGCCAATTCATCATATGTTTCCCTCATTATTATTTATCTTCAACAATGTCCATGCATTCGGAGAGTGAAGAAAAAACTTTTTGAAATGGCGATCTATGTTCGAGGGCCTATCTTTCAAACATTTCTGTTATTTGAGTCTTTATATATTTTGTAACTAAAAGAAGTAGGACTGATGGGTTTTTTAATCAATAAGAGTGACTTGTGACTAATTAAAAACAGACTAGAAAATGTAATTATAACATTTCCAATTTAGCCACTTTGACCTAAACTGCCCAAAGTGTTATAGCCTCCATTGTAGCACTTTACAATGTATTGCACGTGCTCTGTCTATCTATGTCTGTCTATCTATCTATCTATCTATCTATCTATCTATCTACATACTGACTCTTTGGTGCACCCATTAATCATAACAGGCAGCAAAGAACTGTATTTTTCGGGGGAGAGATAGGACACCTAAGAATTGCCTAAAGGCACCTCATGCATACATTTTGCCCCCAAGCACACATATGGCTTCTGTTTTTCTTATTTTGGAAATTTTTACAATTTTGTAATTTGTTTTGAAATGGCTACTGTACTCAAACAAAATAGGGCATTTAAGTAGAAGTGTTGGTATAATAAACCGTGTATTATCAGTTCAAGAAGAAAGGTTGAACTAGGCTATTAAAATATATTGACAACAGCAGTGTAAAAAAAATAACACAACAGAAAGTGTTTTATGGTGTATTGATCATTTGGGGGTTTAATGACGGAGTCTAGTTAAAGTTATTTTCTTCTCATTACATTATACAATTTATACCTTAACATTTATCCTGGCAAGAAAATAACTGGTGGTAGCCAAAAAATAATTAAACGAATTAGTGGAAAGCAGCCATTAGTTAGGTATGGTAGTCGTTAGATTATATTTAAGGATGACTGCCTACATAAATATTATTTTCTTCATTTGAAAAAAGTTTGCCCCTAGTTTGAGTTGTGAAAATATGGTTACAGCTTTTATACACTCCGATTGCAGTGGAAATGGATTAATAGATTTTGTAAATATGTATAACACACATGTAAAGTTTCAATGTATTACATTGCACTGAGAACTTTAGCTAAAATACTTTTGTTTCTGAGAGGTGAGGCGTTCATTGTTATGTCGTTATTTAATTTATTTTATTATCAATAACCAGTCTATAAAGATAATCTTATGTAATCGTATTTATAAATCTATTAGAATTAAATATTATTGTATTTAATCCTAGATTAATATTGAAATTAGTGAGTCCTGATTGCATTTGCAGGGTTATCTCCAATGAATAACCTTCTGTTTACTTGAGCTGGTTTTAAAAATTAAAGTTATAAAGAAAATGAGTGATTAAGGACTGCATCTCCATAACTGACCTTTATATTGAATACCAGAGTATTATAATGCACAGCTTTATTAATCTATTAAAAAAACAACTGTAGTGAAAAGGGACAAATACACAGTGGTGGTAAAAGTTAAAACATTCTTGATGCTTCCACATTGATAACTGGTAACTAGTTAACAGAAGTATTTTATGGATACACAGACAATTTTTAAATGGTTTTTGGACTATGCTCCTTGGCTGAACTACTGAGAACAAGACTGTAATATGTAAGTTAAAGGGTAAAATGAATCTGTATTTTTCACCTTTAGGCATCACAAGGTATTCAGATGAGTTAATATTTTTGGTTAAACTTTAAAACATTTTGAAAAATATTTTTATATATTGTTGTATTTTTTTTACATAATATTTTTTATATTTTAATATTTAGAAAAAAAATGTTTTTAAAAGTGGGTCCAAACTATTAAATAAAAAATATGAAATATTAAATAATTTCAAACCCTTACCCAAAAATATTAATTGAGGCCTTAGTTCTATACATCTATTCTATGCGCTGGTTTCAAAACTAATCTAAAAACTTATTTTTATTTATGCTGCTGGATAAATAAATGTGTTTGAAATTTGCTGTAAGACATCAATAATAATCACTAGATCTCCATCGCCAACTTACGTTTGCGAGATATTTGACCAAATCCTAGAAAAAACAAAACATATATAAACTATGTCCTTATTGTCTTAACAGCAAATTGTACACTGAAATTGAGTGGCTTAATTTGGTAGTGATTAAGAGAGTGAAAGCAATTGGTGTAAATCACAAGATTTAATGAAAGGTGATCTTATTTACATACTCACTATGAGTATCCATGTTAAGTAATTGTTATCTTAACTAAATGGTACCCTAACCATTGTTTTTCAGATCTGGATAACTACAATCAGAATTTACATTTTGGATCAAAGAAAAGTGAAGATTTGAAGCATGAGCAAAAATAACCATGAGTATAATCAGAAGAAAAAATGGTTTGTGAAAGAAAATCAATGAGATAAAATAATGCACACCTAAGAACACCCAGAAAAAGCTTAAAATATACCGTTAGAATGCCCAAGGTTCTTTAAATCATCAAATTATTTATTAGATCTTATTTTGATACATTTGATAAATTTGAAGGCACACTTACTTTTGCGTGAGATCTGACCAAATCCTATGGGGAAAAAAAGAGTACAAGTCTTTAGTAAATATAGTAGTAACAAACATATATTTTGATTTGTGCAGACATTTGCTGTAAAGTCTATGGGGGGAGGGGGAGACTTGTCAAGGCAAAATAGGTGCCATTGCAGGGGTTACGTGAGAGACATTCTATTGGTCTCCATGGTAATTGTTCCTTATTTAGCACTTTGCCCCAGAATAGTACATGTACTTGCCTTTTCCCATATGTACAATTTATATTTCTATGGGCTATTAAAATATAGGTTTGCATTTAGACAATTAATTAAGGAGAAATGTTATGCCTTTTATATTGTATTTCCTGAACCTTAAGAAATGTCATATTTAGTGTTTATTTAGTTGTAGCTTCCCTGTAACGTCACCATTTGTACACTAGTCACAGTACAATCTGTACACTCCAGGAAAGTTGAACTTTGCAAATTCTGGTTCTAAAACACTGCCAGTCTTTAATGTTTGTGTTTTATTCTTGCCCTCTAAGCATGTTGTTTTACTTTTAGTGGCTGTTACCAAATACCATAATGGGTTAATATCATATACCTACAAATTATTTACGGTAATCTTAAAGTAATATTTCCCTATCTATCTTATGTAAAAGAAGCAATGAAACAAATGTCTAAAAATCTATTCCAACATCTCCAAGTTGCTAATAGGAACTGTCATCTAATGGTGCAACGGAGTGCTAACTCAACTGCAATGTAACAAGCAAGGTTAGCTTTGCCAATAAGCAGAGTGCATAACTGCCTATCTCCTCCTTATTTTCTCACATACTTTAAATTATGAAGCAAGATATTTTATGAGATTTGTTGGTAGGGTAGGGTGGGCCTGCATCTACAGATGCCTGAGATGTAAACATAGTCCGGGTATGGGCTATTTATGCACGTATCTGTTCATGGCATCCAAAGTGTAAACATTCTTGGAATAAATATTCTAATCTCAATTTGCATAGTAAATAAGTCAGAAATATATCCTCTTTGTACTTTTACTCATCTCCATGTTCAATACATTTATTTTCTACCTCTACACTTCCTATAGCACAAGTTACACTTTTCACCATACAAATGAACAGCTATACTGTGAGCAACTGCAACTCTCTTGAGTTCACATAACTTGAGAGGTGTTTAGACAGATGGACAGATGTCTAATAGTGATGTCTCGAACTGTTCGCCGAACTGTTCGCGAACTGTTCGCCACGGTTCGCCATGAACGGTTCGCCACGAACGGTTCGCGCAGACTCCAGTCAGCTGACACATTCCAGCCAATCAGCAGCAGACCCTCCCTCCCAGACCCTTCCACCTCCTGGACAGCTCACTAAGAATGCAGCTTCAAAATGGATGCTGTCCAGAAGGTGGGAGGGTCTGGGAGGGAGGGTCTGCTGCTGATCGGCTGGAATGTGTCAGCTGACTGGAGTCCTTGGCGAACCGTTCGTGGCGAACCGTGGCGAGCAGTTCGCGAACAGTTCGGCGAACAGTTCGGGACATTACTAATGTCTAACAATGCTTTGAAAACTGAACATGTTCCAGTATTTAAAAATTAATTGAAGTGACCTGTGAATTCACACTGATTTCTCTTATTTGTTCCAATCACAACATGCCACTATTTTTTTTGTGGGTTTTAGTTGGTTTAACCATGTGTTATTTTTTTTTTTACTATGCAATAACCAACAGGTGTGGCTATTTAATTCTGGTTAAATTAATTGTATTAAGTGACTCATGCAGGGCTCTCTTGGTTTTGTTTCTTATTTATCTTTTGCTTACGCTAGTATAACTTTTTACAATTTTTGATAAGGTTATAAGTTGGCAGTATGTACATAGTTTGTTTGCAGTAACTCTAAATAATGGGTATGCTTTGTTTTTGTGGTTTTCATACTTTTTCGGTTCCACTTACCATTGTTACGTTTTCCCATTAAACCGTAGAACTGGTCAGGTCTAGGTTTTCTTGCGATTCTCTGAAGTAAACTTTCAAAAACTGGTCCCTGCAGCTCTTCCTAGAAGGTGATATAATGTAAAAATAATACCATTACATAGGCATCATTTTTAAAATATTCATCATAAATATGATACAGATCAGAGTGTACATCACGAAAAACTAATAATTACTGGTAATATTGTAAAATGAAAAAAGGGATGTGTCACACCAATCTGGATAGTGAAGGGTGTGCTTATCATCGGAATTGTTATCAGTGATGGATTTTGCATATGGAACCGGGATATCAACCTACTGTTACTCCGCTGAATATCATACCTGTTCGTTATTAGTAGTATTAATCATGCTACAATTTTTCTCACCCTATAACATCCTTCCAACATGTTGCCTACAACCATATCATTTTGTATTCTCCATCTCATATCACCACCATCCTGTTTTTACTAACGATCTTCTTAAATAAATTAAGTTCTTCCCTTAAAGTCATAATCATATCTCCTCAGGTGCCCCATGGCATCACAAAATTATTTGTTTATTACTTTTTCCCACTATCATCTTGACCACATCCTGTGCTTTGCTATATTCTCCAGGATTTGTCTATCCTTTTATCCCACCAGCATCTTCTTACATATGCAACAACTGACACCACTACATCTCTTAAACACTTTAATACCCAAATCAAATATAAACTTTTGCATTATGAAATCTAGTCCATAAAGCATCATTCACCCTCATTTGTACCATAGTTCCAATTGTCAGTCTGCAAAAGAAAGAATTTATCTGCCGGAAGCCACTAGTCACTGATATAATGCCTGTAAAGTTGCTGAATGTGAAAGCTCATTCACTACTTTCAAACAGCACAGGTTTCAATGATTCATATAGTTCCTACAGTCAAGGAGGTGGGAGGAGTCAATGGACTGTACCAATTCACTGCTATTATTATATTAGCTTTCAAGAAAGTTTGCTACATCAGTTTAAATTACCTTTTTTTAGAACTATTTAAATGTATTTACTGTGGACAGTATGTTCAAATGCAAACATTCTTAGTACAGCGTGTTGCCATTTTTAGTAAGCTGTACTGCTATGAATGCCTTTAGGGTCAGATAAGGATCTGACCAATTTTATTTATATATTACCGTCACACCTACTGTTTGTGAGACAAATATCATTTTTGCTTTTATCCTTACATTTCAGACTTTGAGTGATAAGATAAAGGCCATTGGATACTATCTAAAGCTTTTCATTTCTCAAATATATTTAGAATAAACCAGAGGCGTAACTAGAATCCACCGGGCCCTGGTGCGAAAATTGCCCATGTTCCCCCCATCCCATGTGTCTCTTTTCCCCCCCTCCCAGTGTCCCATTCCTCCCTCTCTCCTCCCTCCCCTTCATTTGCCACATAGCCACACTTTCTCACCCCTCTCCCCTTCATTTGTCTCATAGCCACCCTCTCCCCCCCTTCATTTGTCCCATAGCCACCCTCTCTCCCCCCTTTTCTTAATTAGGCCCATACCCTCCCTCTCTGCCCCCTCCACTCCCTGTGTCCCATACCCTTACCTCTCTTCCCCCTCCCCTCCATCTGCCCCATAGCCACCTTCTCTTCCACCTCCCCTCCATTAGCCCCATAGCTACCCTCTCTCCCCCTCCTTCATTGCCTCATAGCCACCCTCTCTCCCCCTCCCCTTCATTTGTCCCATATCCACCCTCTCTACCTCCCTCCCCTTCATTTGTCCCATAGCCACCCTCTCTCCCTCCCCTCCCCTTCATTAGTCCCATACGCTCTCTCTTTCTGCCCCCTCCACTCCCTGTGTCTCATACCCTTACCTCTCTTCCTCCTCCCCTTCATTTGCCCCAGAGCCACCCTCTCTCCCCCTCCCCTTCATTGGTCCCATACCTTCCCTCTCTGCTCCCTCCACTCCCTGTGCCTCATACCCTTACCTTTCTCTCCCCTCCCCTTCATTTGTCCCAGTCCCATCTCTCTCCCCCTCCTGTACCTGGCTCATCGCATTTCCCGGTCTGACAGGAAGTGCTCTCACAGTGAGCACTTCCTGTCAGACCGCTCGGCCACGCTACACATAGGCAGGAGGGAAGTAGCATAGCTCTCCCCTCCTGCCAGACACCCAGCAACCGCAGACGCAGGCCGATGCGGCTGTGCACTGGCCCAGAATGTATCCAGGTGGCCCATGGTCGCAGGGGTTGTGGCTGGATTGACGGGCCTGATCGCAGCTGCAACCCCTGCGACCGTTGTAGGTACGCCACTGGAATAAACAAAGCAGTGAAAAATTTAAATTGTGAAAATGTACATCATTTTCATTTTTAGGTTTGCCTTTAAAACGATATATACAAAATTGGCACCAACCTAAGTGCATTTTATAGCCTTTGGCCTTATAGGCATGTTGTGTTTTTTTAGATGTTTTTGAAACTTTCTCCAACTTAAAGGAACACTATAGGGTCAGGAACACAAACATGTATTCCTGACCCTATTGTGTTAAAACCACCATCAAATACAGTGTGTACAGCAAAAAGCCTGAAGGGAATTATTCTACTTACCAGAACAAATACAATAAGCTGTAGTTGTTCTGGTGACTATAGTGTCCCTTTAACTCCACCCCCTTAGCCATGTCTCCTCTTTTTACAATGCAACTTCCTTATTAGAAGTATTCTGAGTATATAATCAGCTAACTCAATGTGAGATCAATATGAGTTCAGTTGCAGACATGACAGACAATCACTGTTCTCTTCTTATTTGTTCCCTTTTCCATTAGCAAGAATTTGAGAACAGTGATTGTTTATGGGATTAAGCCATATCAACAGCTCCGCTCACACTGATCTCTCACTGAAAATATTTTGTGATAAGGGGAGACATAACTAAGGGTTATGGTGCAGAACGATCAAATAAACAAGCAAACGGTTAATATTCATTAAGGAGTGTTTCTGTCAATCTTGGCTGTCTGTGCCATGGGTAAGTCCAGGTCCCACAGGACTATAAGCTATAAAAATAAAAAGGAAGAACCTCTTTGAGAAAGATACCCAATGTGCCAAAGTGCGTTGACTTTCTGTGACGGCCGAATAAACCACCATAGCACCAACCTTTGCAGAGTGTTTAGGTTCTTACTCTTAATTTTTATTGCTGAAAGAACAAAAACATTTTCTTTTTTAGTAAAAATAAAGGTTCTTTAATAGGAAGAAAAACACAGCATGAATATGACACCAACTCAAATGCATTTAAGGTGTGTTGATGTCCAGAGTGTTCCTTTAAGTTCAGCTTATCTGCTTCTCACTTTTAGAGACATTTTAAAATCGTGTGTAGTCATTATTGATTACATGTCTTTTTAAGTGTGTTGTTTCACAAAGTCTGCATTTTAGATCAGTCAGAGGAAGAGGAATTGCTCTAAGTTTATTCTCATCTGTATGTGTTTAGGATGCTGGTCAAGCTTCAAATTCTAGACTAGTTCAAATGGCTAAGAATGGCAAGTAACCAAATAGGATACACTTTAGAATTTTAAAGAGTCAGATTTTACCTTATATCTCTCTACAAATGTTTAATTACTTGCTGATAATATATCCCTCAATTTATCCCTCACAGCTCAAAATTTCAAGTCTTATGCTGAACGACCGATGATTTGAGCCCTGCTTCAGGTATTATTATTTATAATCATATTACCTTTTTTACTTTTGCCTTAAAGGGACACTATAGGCACCAAAACAACTTAAGCATAATAAAGCAGTTTTGGTGTATAGATCATGCCACTGCAGTCTCACTGCTCAATTATCTGCCATTTAGGAGTTAAATCACTTTGTTTGTACAGCTCTAGTCACACCTCCCTGCATGTGACTTGTACAGCTTTTATAAGCACTTCCTGAAAGAGAACCTAGATATTCTAGCTTCCTGTATTGTACAGTCTGTTTAATCTAGATTTTCTTATCTCCTCCTCAGTTAATGGCCCTTCTAGAGCCTGCGGGCTCTAACATCTGACTGAAATCGAAACCATTTTTTTCATGTAGGATGCATGAGTCACAGCCAGGGGAGGAGTGGCTAGAGCTGCATAAATAGAAACAAAAATGATTTAACTCCTAAATGGCAGAGTGGAACAGTGATACTGCAGGGGCATGATCTGTTTCTTGTTTAGATGCCTACAGTGTCCTTTTAAATATATACCAGCGCAAGACAGCTAACAGTATACTAATAAGGGACTTCATGAAAAAGTCACAGACGTACTTTTTTCTCATAATTTAACACTGATAGACATCTGATCACACTATGACTTCTATAATAATGTTCAAATAATATGTCACCTTAATAGCTAGCAAAATAAAAAAAACTATGAAGAGTATAATAATAAAATGTATCCTACATAATCAAAATGTACAAAAAAAATTACTTGATGATTTGTTCTCAAAGAAAAGTTGTGTACTAACATTCACAGTTCTTATTTTCTTAATATAACTTTATACAACTATATTTGAAAAAAAATATATATTCATCTACACATTGCACACCCAAAACAACTTTTCTAAAAATCACACTTTGAGAAGCATCTCCTGCTTTGAGATGCCAATTAAGCGCCTATGTATACAACATGCTGTACCTAGATATATAGTGATATGAAAATGTGTGTACTCACCCAAGACAACCACTCATTTCTATATCATTTCAACTATTTTTTAAACAATATATTAATATGATTTTGCTATTTCCCACTCCATGTTTCTAACTTTCAATAATGTCCTAACTCATAAGCCTTAGAATATTGTCACCTGCCTTGTCCAGTATCGGCTTATGTAAGCACCAGCATTGATAAATGTCACTTGACCTACTAGTACAGCAATTTTTTACTGAATGAGAACTGTTTTTTGCCATACTTTCTATTGCTACGACTGTCCTGATATAAAGGATTTGCACAACCACTAGTCATTAAATAATTAACATTTAATCTTAGCGGTCTAACAGAAAATATTTCCAAGTTTGGCCAGCAGAACAGACATATGAACGATCTAGTTGAAGGAAGGAGTTATGTAATTTTATCTTCTCCCACCCATTTAAATGATAAACACTTCTATGCTCAGGCTGGCCCACTTAATGGTGATTCCTCCCATTTAATGATTTCTTCAGGGCCTTTATCCATATGACCATTACTTTATCTTGATGGAGGGAGGAGAAAAGAGCTCTCCAGGGTACTATAAGATGGAAATTCACAATTAAGCTAAGTGTGAATTAAGGAGTTGGTGAAAACGTCACTTATGGGAAATTGAAGGTTTTGTCAGCCAACTATGTTGAATATTACATTACATTCTGAAAAAAAATAGCTTCATATGAAAAAGCTCTTTTTCATTTTTTAAACCTTTTTAGGTTCAATAGAATAATGGTGAAAAAACAACAGAAATATGTAAGCAGGGAGGTTAGTTTTGATAAGAAAAGTGCAGTCATGACATTTCACAGAGATGTTTTATCGTGGTTGAAAACAGCCTTAAGTGATCCATGGAACAACCAAAGCTTTTTGGAAAGGTAAAAGCACAAAGCATATATTCTGTTTATTAAACTTTGAATTTTGGAACGTCCAAGACTAACGGGCAAACTTTCTAACTCAACAAATTTAGATTTTTTTTTTCTTCACTGGTCTTAAATATTTTAAGTGGGTTCTCAAGTCATGTCAAGTGGTTGTTTTCAAAAATAACCCTTCTATTTCATGTTTCATAGGTAACTAAGTAAATCATGTAATTCTCTGTGATAATGTAGATGCGGAACAGTGTTCTCGTTAATGCTGCACCAGATGGGAAGATTAATTTGCTAGACCTTTGGCTGACGCAATCTATAAAGGACAAAAATGCTAAATAAAATAAAATTCATTTTAGCATAGCAGAGTCTCTTAAAATTGTTAAATGTCTTTCCACTAAGGGCTGGGTTGCATACAAAATTAAGAGAGCAATGCAAGTGGAGTATTACTACTACACCACAATGCATTATGGCATAGATTTTCATTTCTCTTTAATGTTTTTTTTTTTATAAGTTGAAGCATTTATGATGGTAATTTTTTTTTTTTTTAGCAATTACTATATCCCGGGGAGGAAAATGATGGCATGTCTTCAAATGACAATGCTGAATCAAGTATAAGATTATTTTATGTGACAAGAAAATGTTAGGAAAGATTAAAGTCTTTATCTAAATATATTTAGGGACATTTGGTGTAAGGTACAGTTTTAGCACTCAGCACTTCTTGGCACTTTATGTTAAGGGGTGGTATGGACACTATTTGTGGGGTGAACATATATTCTTTAAGCAAGGAGTTTGGGAAGCCATTAATCAGTTTAACTGCTATCCCCATCTCACAGCAAAGGAGATGAAGCTGAAAGTAGGAGATGCCAGGAGGCCAATCCTCTTTAAATATAGCAATCCTCTTTAACGAGTGATAGACTAGGAGAAATAATTGGTTCCATCCTGGTTATTAAGGAGCCCATGGTAACCCTTATATTATTATTCCCTGTCTTCAAGGTCACAGGTTGGGAAGGACACATTATTATTTTGTTCACCTCTCCACATATCGTTTCTAGTAAAAGGGGAGGGGAGGTTACTTTGTCCCTCCTCGTTGTTAGTTGTTTTGCAATGAGCTCAAGTCTATTTTGACACTGTTCACTCAGTCAGCCACTAGAGGGCCTTTGTGGTTGTCCCCCTGCAATAGTTATACTATATCATACAGGGGTTATAGTAGAAATAACAATTATAAACTTGAGCGAGCAAATGTTAAATTGCATTAATTGGTATGAGTACATTAGTAGACTTTCATTCCAAGTTTTGGGCTCTTACACTGAAAAGATAATATTTGTAAGAGTATAGGCTATTCAATTGTATGTAGGCATATTGCCATATTTTTATTTTTTATATCCATTTTAATACACCTGGTAGATTATTTATTTCCAGTATTAATATGTTTGCTATATGCTCCCTTTACTGATACGTGTATAGGTGGCTAGGTATTTTTAAAAAAACTACCGTAATATATTCTGTGAGCTTTGAAATTACTGTTTAGAAAATTAGTGTGTGCGCCGGATCTTGTATGTTGTATGAATTGGCCCCAGCAGCACCCTTCTAATGTAAACATGTTCAAGTGAGTGCAGCCCTCTTGATTTTATATATAAAAATCAAGAAAGTTATGGGGGGGAGGGGTGGGGGAAGTGATTGAAAACCTCTTCCACCTAAAGTCACTGGATAGTCAATACATTGTTAAAGACAGATCTGCATAACAGGCAAGCCATAAGCCATTTCCACAGAAATCTCAAATTTGCAGTGATGCTATTACTTCATTGGCTTCTGGGTGGATATATGTAAATGAGTTCAACAATGAACCCCCTTTTTGTCCCATTATGCCATTTTAAACGTAGATTCCTTGCAGTTTATGTTTGCTGTATACAATAACTTTTAACAAAACTCAGGAAGAGATGCAAATCCAGTGAACCACTCATAGACAGCTGTTTTGTTGCTAATGCAACTCATCAGCAAGAGGTAGGTTACTTGCTTGCTACTGTGGCTTGACGTTACTTGCGGGGCACACACCAAGAACATTATGGTGGGGAAAAAATTGATTGAAAACAACATCACTGCAAATTTGCAATTTCTGCGGGAAAAGTAAGTCTAATGGCTTGACTGGTGTGCACAGATCTGTGTTTAACAATGTATTAAATAGCCACTAAATAATAATAGTGGCATGTAAACTACTGTGCAATTTTAAACCTCACCACTAGGGAACTGAATAGGAATTAAGTGTTCACACATTCTCAGTTCAATATGCGTACAAATGATGGGAATGCTTGTGCGAACACCTAGTTTTTCTGAATGATCAGGTTCATTTACTGAATCAATGGAAGCAAAACTTTTGTGCAGAACATATTAAATATTGGAATATGAAGCAATTTCCTTTCCTGTGCAAAACAAACTTCCCCTTAAAGCCACTTTTCTTGAATGAGTGAGCTGTGGGTCCAAAATAACAGAGTTTGAAAAATCACAGATTTTTTTTTCAAACTTTGACCATTTCTGTCCAAATCTTGCAAGTTCCCAGACAAAGCACCGGTAGTGATTAAATCTCTTAATACTATTTTTTATATCTTACAGGTTTAAAACGGTACAATATCTTTTTCTCTTGCACGATAAATAGTATTGAGTCAGTCAGATGTTCTGTGCCACAGAATATCCTTCACAAGTAACCCCAATTTCTCCAGTTTCCATACATTTCCTACACAAAGGATGCAGATTGCTCTGATGTTCTTAATGAATGTTTATTAGTAGCAAAAAGCACATAAAAGGATAGAATAAAGTCCAATACAAATTCTAACAACTCAGAGCACTGGGAAAGATAAATGGCCAGATCACTTCCCAAAGAACTGATTTCTTATACCACTATACATGCATGAATGAAATATCTTACTATTCCCAGCCACACATTCATTCACACTGTGCTAAACAACACGGCTACTGCTAAGGTTTAGTTTGCCCGAAAACACACTATATAAATACATAAGTGATTTATTTCTTACAAATGATAGCCACATGTTCATTTTCATTGACCTCTATTCTGTCTAGCCTTACTGGCTATGTGCCATTAGCCCAGTGTGCCCAGTAACTGTGTCCCTAGTAACTATATCTTACAGCTCACAGCAATAGTTCATTGCCTTGTTGAGCAAAATCCAAGCATTTGTGATGCAAAAGTCAAGGAAAAACACCTTCACAGTAAAAGTACAGACAGAAAATGTGCTGTTCAGGAAAATAAACAGTGAATCACATATAAAATCATTGCTACTATCTAAAAGTCAAATGTAAAGTCTACTCCACACCCATGGTGAATTTAAAAAAATCCTAAATTGCAAACGTCATGCCTTTTACAATTGACTCTAAATCAGGTTGTAACTTAGAAACCTGCTTGCTTTTTATGCAAGTCCCTTACACTGATTCATGTTCTGAAGTAAATATTAATAATAGATAAGATCTATTTCTGTTGATGTAGTAAGCAGTATAACTATTGTCACTACACTGCCTTTATTTTGCTTATTTACATCAAACTTTTAGATTGTTGTTTTAGTGCCATCTGGAAGAATGTATCAAGTTCTATCCAAGGCATTTTATGTAATTAAAGGGTTTATTAAATAGATATTACCTGATTAAATATCCCATTGTGCCTCTGCTGATAATGTATTCTGCCCCCGATTATAGCATGCATTCATCTACAATATTGCTACTGTACACAATTTGCTTACAGATATACCACAATTTAGAATTATTTTACTTAAGACTTGAATTAACTTCATGTACAGTCATTACATTCTATTGTATATACTGTATAGGCTTGCTGGGTTCTTTTCCAACAGTTAAGTCAAATAAAGACGATTCACTTAAGAGGGGAAAAAAATATACCCTTCACTGCCTAATGAGAGCAACATTCATTAAGTCAAATTAAAGTCAGAACTCAAATGAGTCCTGAAGGAAATTTCTTTATTAAAAACTGCATCCATGCAAACCAAACAAAAAAAAACCAGGTCAAACATATGGCTCGGAATTACTAACGCAAGCGCATGTATATTGAATGAGACAGAACAAATAAGGCTTGAATGGGCATGCTCAAGTGAAAGATTACTAGATATATTGTGTATGGGAAACAGAACAAGGTAATTTTAAGATACTAAAGTAGTGTAATGGTTTCTGTTTATAAAAAAAATGGAAAACGGTTGTGTCTTTTATTTAAATTGTCAAATTATATTAGAATCCTGAATGGATTTACTGCTGTAAAGTAATTACCCGTACCATGTTAAATCAATTGATCAATAAGTCAGATTGCTTTATTTAAGCCCTGATAAATAGTTTTGTCAATGAAATATGCTGGATTGGAACACTCTTTTAAGATAATTGGAGTGCTTTCCCCAAGGTGACTTTGGGAGTATTCAGCAGCTCTCTCATCCTCTCTCTCTCTCTTTCTCTGTCTAGAAGAAATATTTTAATGGGCTTGCTTAGGAAATGCTCAGGGTTTTTAAAAGGAAACTCATAAATGAACGTCACTTATAATTTAACCCCTATGTGACTCGAATTAGGCAAACATTTTGCTCTCATGGTTGTCCTGACATTTCATTTGACATGAAGGGGTTAAACAAATTTAAAAAAAGTCATCCAGTATTCAGTTAGTGTAGAGCACATTGGCTATCCCATGTGGACAATATAACTTGGGTTCTCATACAGCACAGAATACAATGCCTCATGTCGTGTAAAAAAAATATTTCATAGGGACAAATTCTACTTATAAAGTAACTGATGGGGCACCATTTTAAGGGATATGTAGTCATTTACTCTAATTATCCAATACATTGACAATTTATATTTATTCATTGCAATTATGTTGTTTAAAACTACTATGGTAATAATAATTATAATAAAAATAGTGCTAAAATTAATTGATAAAAGAAAACAGAATAGTAAGGATAATTCATTTTAAGATTAAAAAATAAATAAAATAAGCGAAACACACAAAATACTAAGATTGCTGGAAACAGTTAATACTGGGGACAATCTGCAACAGTGTTAAACTAATTTCAATTTGTGTTTTAGTTCAAAATAATTCAGTGCACAGTGATGTCTACTGCACAATATGCAATACAGTACAATGCAACATTATATAGAAACCAAAGGTGGAACAGGTGCTATTCTGGAGAAAAGTGCTAAATGAGGGGCAATACATATGGAAACCAATGGAATGTTTTATGGCATTTCACACTTTACCCCCAAAATTGCTTTTGATTTACCTTGATTAATCTGGACACTATTCACAGTGATTAATAAGTATTTCTTTATTCCACATTATATATAACGCAGAGGTTTAGAGTTAGCAAACATGTCTACTTCACAAAATCCAATAACATGAAGCAGATTATCTGCTTAAAATTACAAAATATTTATAGAACATAGACCTGCTAATTCTAGAGTATTCAAAATTGATCTAAATCAGTCTAAGCAAATATAGATAATGCATAGTATGTCCATATAGGTAAATAGTAAGAATTAAGTATGTTATGAAAAGTGCAATCATTGAATTCTATAGAATACAGAAAACAATGTTTGAAATAGGACCAGATGTAACAATTACCCACTGAAGAGTGTTTTTCCTCTCTCTATTAACACAAAGTGCAATTAATAACTGCCAAGGTGGTCTATATATTTGTTCAGTGATAAAATCGCATAGCTTCAGTTAAAATCCATTAGTGCACAAATTATGTTAATAAAAGCCAAGTTTAAAATGAAGTCCAACTGCACAATATTTAATAATTTGAGTGGCTTTAAGGTTTGTATAATGCAACTTGCTAATTGTAAAAGGAATTAACTATTGCATTTTTTTTCTAATTTATTAAATCTATAAAAAAAAAAATTGCCAGCCCTTCAATGTGTTAGAAAAAATAAGTCAAGTTTTATGGATCTGGAATTTAATTAAGAATGCATGAAATGCAGAAAGCATTAGGAAGTTTTTCTCTCGGGATTTCAGTGCAGAATATATTGCAAATTGAACTGAGCTTTTTAATGGCACATGATTGAGATGTTAGCAAAAAGCTTAAACGTACCTTACATGCACTTTGCTTTGAATTTATATTGTATTGAAAACACAAGGAAATAAAATGGATAATTTTTCAATGCTGATTTAGTCTATTTTGGTAATGATATCTTTTCTTAAGCAATCTTTCATAAAACATAATCAAGCTTACTTTTAATGTACTTTTGTACTGAGTGCCAAATAACATTTAGGTTATATTGCTAGGCACTTTGTATAAAAGCACTGTAATTGCTAGCTTTGTAAAAGCTCGGGCCGTTAGCTTGATTCTTTTTGTATTACTATGTGTTCATTGTTTGTCTGTGTTCCCTCTCTTGTACAACGCTACAGAATGTTGCCACTATATGAATATCAAATACTAATAATATCAAAACAGCTGCTAATTTCACTAAATCATCTACTGCATAGTTTGCATAGTTGAACATATATATGTGTGTTGGAAAAGAGAATAGTGAAAGGGGGACAATGAAAGAATTTGCAATATGAAGAGAACTACTGAAACAGAGTTCATCATTTGCAGCAAAGAATCGAAGACTGAGATATAATGTAAAGAACTGATTGTGTAAAGTAAAATGTTGCAGGCACTTACTGTAGATTATCCATGTGCTTAGGAACTGAAGGCTAGTACAGTGAAATCTATTACGATTTAAGACGGGCATAAACTATAATTTGTGTAATAAAGGAGGTATTGTCAACTTTTATGTTTGTATATTTGTCTGAGTAGAGTTGCGAGTGTGGGGCATATGGCTCTCTGCACTTTCACCTCTACCGATGTTTTTTATGTTTGGAGTATAATTCTTGGAGAGTTGTATCACTGTATATGCAATGGAACAATTTATGTGTACTCCGCTGTGTCTATGTTTGTTTTTGAATTTTCTGTACCAAATTTAAAAATAATCAATAAATTATCTTTAAAAAAAAAATGTTGCAGGCACTTACTGTAGATTATCCATGTGCTTAGGAACTGAAGACTGGTACAGTGAGCAAATTCAATGGAATGTAGACTATCCTGAAACCCAGCTGAGCAAAATCAATCTGAGTTCTTACAATGATCAGGTTAGAAAAGGAAATCTGTTTTTATCTACTACTACTTTATTCATTAATGTTGAAGAAAAAGTCCACCAACTTCAAAATTTGTTTTGTCTTATATACATTCACTTACGGTACATATTGATTCATATGACAAGAACAGTTTAGTCAATTTTAGACCTTGAACTCACATACGGAGTGATATGTCCGGCAATATAATGGAAATATACCAGTTAATGCTCAGTTTGTGAGTATATTCTGCCAACGGAAATGAGTTTAATGGAACAAGAAAAGAAAATAGTGAAGTATGAAAACTTGGAACAACAAAGCTTTTATGAATTAAAAGCATCTCATTAAAACCACAAATGTACAGTGTAACACCGGAGAATACAAGAAAATGCCTTCTTCTGTAAAAAAAAGACCTCTTTTTAACTATTAATGCAATCATATATATAATGTTATCTGTGTATTTATATATTTATAGTACCTCCAGTTAATAAAATGCATACTAACTTGGTGGTGCAAAAACTATAGCTAATTCTCTTTTCTTGGGGATACAATGATATATAACATATCTGAATAACACATTTTTTTAATACACCTTGAAGGGCATTGTGAATTTATAGATTTCTCCATAAACTGAGCTTTATATTATATTATAGGCTTATAATATAACAACAAATGGACCATCTGTTGATATTAATATTATTGCTCTGTAGTTACACAAAGAGCATTAGGATGGTTAATTAAATAACAAGTTATATGAATATGTTATAAATTAGAATAGTACCATATATGAAAATCCAGTACTATTGCAGTACATAGCAGTGTACAATACAGAGAACTATACAACATGTTTAAAAACGATTTGTCAGTGGGATAGTTTATGTTGATGGTTTACCAGCTGTTGAACCTGTTCAACCCCAAGATTCCAGTTACATATACTAGCAATAGGATAACTTGTAACTCATTTGCAATGAGTACCACTGAGCCTGGTGATGCTATCCTATAGAATAGAGGTATTCAAATACCATAAAACTTTAAAAGGCGCTTTTGTTTTAAGTTAATAAAATTATTTTGATGTCTTAGTTTGCTAAAAGCTGGTCGGTGCAAAGAGAGGGGGGACTGGTACACTATTACAAGGCTTTACAGTGTATCCTCTTTAATGTATATTCTGTTTGAATAATGTAGACATTGTTTACCAGGTTTCCTTGTGCAGGGGATACATGAAATACTTTGCACCGTTTGCCATTGATTTTCTTGCTGCTTTGTAATATATATTTAGCATAGCTGTCCCCTTCCTCTTAGAGGTAACATCTGGTCATGCTAATTTAAAACTGATTTCTTTTCGGTGGACTAGAAGCCCCTTAGACTATTACATATGCACCATTGTACCCCCACAAGGAGTTGCAAAATCAATCAAACACACACTTATTCATGCAATTCTCTAAGTATAGTTAATGCACTTAAGTTTGTCAGTAATGGATGAATGAAATATAGCTTGGGGTTTTGGTTTGACTGATTAAAGTAATATCATTCTTCACATGCACTAATTGATGGTTACAGTAAAGGAAGTGGAAGGGTGAATTACATTTTGCTATAAGAGAAAGTGTTTAGCTCACATGCATGTTGAAATGTTTGAATATTTATTTATTGTTATAAAAACATGAATCAATGACTTGATTTAATCAAATTCATTAACTTCCGTGAAATGTTCCAGTATCATCAACCTGTTTTAATTTCAAAGATATTAATATGTTTAACCATTTATATTACGCATTAGCATCTAAATTTTTACACATCACATATGCAAAGAAATATTCATATTTGTTCAGTATAACACCTGCAAATACAATGCATCAGATTGCTTTGATATCCTGCTTATATACTTTAAAATTAAAAATGATCAAGTTTGAATGTAGGAGTTTCTTTTACTTTGCAGCAAAGAGAGACAAGAATAATTCTAAGGCTAAAATATAATTTTTTTATTTTTTTTTAAACTCTCCGGATCACGTAAATAAATTATTATTTTTTTCAACTTGGCTTTCAAGTTTTTAATTTTGCAAACTGGTTCTCAAATAACCACACTATGCTGTTTAGTGATTATTCATATTGGTAAAGTACAAAGCAGGCATTGCTTTGTACAAGACAGCAACAGCTGTGCCCTTACTACAAACACACGTTCGGTTCTCAGTAAAGGGTTTGACTGTTTAAGGTCACAATAACAAAAAAATCAGCTTAATATGAAATTATTTGCATCTAAAAAAATATATATATATATATATATATATATATATATATTTGAAGCAGATCATTTTTGCATAATTTAAAATTAAACTATTAAAAAAAAAAATCTTACCTGGATTTGGTCACTGTAAGGCCAGTCGATGTCTTCATTTAGTCCTATTTCTGCGGCGAACACTTGTGCGGAAACCAGGAGAATTACAGCAAAAGCTACGAGGATTTTCATGGTACCCTGTCTTTTTAGAAAATGCCTCAGACTGCAACAAATTGTCGTGCACTGTTTGTCAGACAAGTGCAAAGATGATACTAGGTGCTGGAAAATAAGACTAGCAATGCCTTAAATCCAGCCCAGGTATAAGAGGACAATTATCTGTAACAGAACAAAAAAAATATGCAAAATAAAAAAATCAGGAGTATACTAAAAACATGCAGAATAGAAAAAAAAGCACTCATAAATTCATACAGATACATAAAGATTTTAAATAATACTAATAATACACCATATCATTCTATATTTGCTTTATATAACCTAGATTATTTTTACTATATTATTTACTGCAATAGTTAAGAAAATAACAAATTCCACAAATGAATATTAAGCAGACTTACTGTACTGAAAGGAAAAGACAGCTTTCCTCTGCACTTCTGTATGTTATACACTCAGAGTGTGTATGTATTCGAGTACAGTATCTTTCTGAATACACTCTTGAGAGCTCTCCAATATATATAAGTGGAGATGGGCAGGTCCAGGGAAGCTTCGTGTTCCTAAATCTAATTACTGCACTCAGTCTATTTACCATACAAAGCAAGGGAAACTATGACGTCTATTTTCCCAGTTGTATTATATATCAATATTCAGTTGAAGTTTTTACAGGCATCCCTATTTCTATTGTGAGATACGTGTTCTATTTTTTTACCCCCTCTGACATGAAATTACATTTTCGCTGGAGGTGTCTCGCTGAGGTCCATGACTAAATGCAATTTGCTAACTGTGACGTCATTTGCAAAAGTCTAAGCAAACTAAACCAGTTCATTGCTTTTGGGATCCTGTACCAGATCAAAGCATAATTGTAACTGTGTCACTAGTTACAAAGAATCAAAGACTATGGCAAGGATAATTATAAGTTATTTTATACCACTGTGGGGCACAAGTCACAAACTGCTCCTGCTTGTAGCAAGTCATTTAAGTAGAATATTTCGCCAGTAAATTGCAGCACAATGGGGTGACTCAGTGGCCATTAGTCATCATCCGATTATATCAAATGCAGATGCCATTTAAGTGGGACAATTGCTGACATCTTCATTGGTATTGTGGGGTATTCAAACATTTATTCAAATCATGTACTAAAAGCAATAGATTAGACATCCATCCTCTTCTAATATTGACCTGTTATACCCTTAACAGCACCATTTTATTTCCAAATATCCTTAATAACAGATATTAAACAGATATTGTTGCAGTACCCCATCGCTTGTCAAAAGCATTCCATGAAGTCACATATGCCACAGATTTGAGACACTGAAGTTGAAACCAAAGAAAATGGGAGGGTTGAGGGCAGTCTATCGTGACAAAGTCAGACCCTCTTAGGTAGCATATGTTACAACATGCAGATTTCTAAAGGTAAAATGAGACACTATCACAGGAGTAGGGGGGTGGCTCCTAGAAGAGTAGAGTTATTATTATTATTATTATTATTATTATTATTATTAAAATTTATATAGCGCCAACATATTCCATAGTACTTTACAATATTATGAGAGGGGGGATGTAACTATAAATAGGACAATTACAAGAAAACTTACAGGAACAATAGGTTGTAGAGGACCCTGCTCAAGCGAACTTACAGTCTATAGGAGGTGCGGTATAAAACACATTAGGACAGGAAATAGCAATCAAATGAGGTGGGAGTGAAGCAGAGCTGGAGGAGAGAGTAGAGTGCTGCCCTTTAGGAGAGAGCAAGAGACAGGTATGTAAGGTAGAGGTTACTCTGGGAGGCCATAAGCTTTTGTAAAGAGTTCGTAAAGGGTTTTAAGACACTTCTTAAACAATTGAAAACTAGGGGAGAGTCTGATGGTGGTAGGCACTAGGCAGGCTATACCATAGAAAGGGAGCCGCCCGCGAGAAGTCCTGCAAGCGTGAGTTGGCCGGGCAAGGCAGAGAGACCAAGAACGGGAAATATAGAAATATAGGGGGGGCTAGAATTGGTCAGTGCTTTATAGGTGGATAGACTCCTATAGGATAGGTGGATTGACTCATATAGGTGGATTGACTCCTATAGGATACAGGAAGCCAATGTAAGGACAGACAGAGGGGAGAGGTGTGAGGGGAGCTACAGGAAAGGAAATTCAGTCTAGCTGCAGCATTCATTACAGACTGTAGCGTGGCAGTACAACTTGTGGGAAGACCTATTAGGAGAGAGTTACAATAATCCATGCAAGAGATTACTAGAGCATTGACAAGCTCCGTAGTAGCATCTTGCATAAGAAATGGGCGGATGCGGGCTATGTTTTTAAGTTGGAATCTACAGGATTTGGTAACACACTGGATGTGAGGCTCAAATGTGAGGCCAAAATCAAGTATAACGCCAAGACAGCGTGCTTGCAAGGATGGACTGATGTGGGTACCACTAACTTGAAGGGAGAGCGAAAGAGGAGGATCAGTATTAGGAGGAGGAAAGACAAGGAGTTCAGTTTTAGAGAGATTGAATTTCAAAAAGCGAGAGGACATCCAATCAGAGATGGAAGAAAGGCAAGCAGTAAGAGGTCCGGGGAGTAGAGGTATATTTGAGGGTCATCAGCGTACAGGTGGTATTGGAATCCAAACGAGGTAACAAGTTTGCCAAGAGAGGCAGTATATAGAGAAAATAGAAGGGGACCAAGTACAGAGCCTTGGGGGACTCAAACAGAGACAGGACGAAGGGAGGATGTATCATTAGAAAAGGAGACACTGAATGAGTGTTGGGAGAGATAGAAGGAAAACCACAAGAGGACAGTGTCACAGAGACAGAGTGATTGAAGAGTTATCCAGGCTTATCTTTAATAAACAGTAAAACATATGATTTTAAAACCTACACCCTTATTACTGGAGGGGGAGCTTACTTATCTTATTCCTCTACTAAATTTTCTGGTGAGGATTCAGAATTACCCCCCACATACACACACACCTCCGCTTTCAACACTCATGGTTTGAGAGACCATTCTCTTAACTACTTTGGTTAATTATTTAAAATAATCGTTCGTGAACACTCTTCTCACTTTCTGCTCATTGTCAATTTAATTGAATGCATTTCCTATCCTTATTTTGTCTTTTGTTTCCTGAGCCATACATTCATTTCATTAGAGCTACCATCCTTGTGATTTCCCTTTGCCTATTTATTTAAAGGAACAGTATATAGTGTTACATAAAAAAATGTTTTCTTGCCCTAAATTGTTAGAGGGGTATTTTGGAATCCAAGAACCCCCTTTTAAGTGTAAAAGTTTAAGTAAATTAACACTTTACGTTCATGGAATCCAGCACCGAAACACCCCTTTCTATGCTTTACCATCTACCTCTGCTGATGACATCAGGCTTGTCCATTCCAGTGCTTCTCAAACAGAAGCAATCTCGACTTAATGCGCATGTGCAGCAATTGTCAGGATGCATCAATGAAAAGCTTCTTATAGAGAAGCATTGAATCCAATTCTTTGCTATGAGAAGATTTATAAGATGTTTTGTGTGATCAGTAAGGACATCAAACGTCAAAAACCAAGTAGGACTCACTAGAGTCACTAGAAATCACTAGAGGTGTTTTTGTTTTTGTTGTCCAAAATGTTTTACATTGCAAGAGAAAAACGCTTGGGGGAATGCATACAAACCACTTCATTGACAGGAAGTCGTCTGGGTGTGGTGCCCATAGTGTCCCTTTCATTCACAAGTTGACAGTCATATATTTGAAATCCCAAAAGATGCTCTTCTGATAAAAGGGGTATTTGTTCAAAAATTGTAATCTCTAGTGTCACAGTATGAACACCCTACATCACTCAGTACCTGTTGCTATGGTGTATGGATTTATTAACAGTGCCTTGCAGTTTATGAAGAACAACATATATATATATATATATATATATATATATATATATATATATATATAACTCCTTTTGTCAAGCTTCAAGATGTCTAATAGCTTTTAGACAAGAAACATCATGATGTACAATATGTGTGTGAACAATACAAGGAAAGGAAAGGCAATGTTTAAGGGAAATCATCTCCCTCAAGTGTATGAGTTTTTCCTTGTAAATATATATACACAATCTAAGCAAAGACGATCTAGTCAATTCTACTGCATTGCATCCATTATCTTATTATCATGGGTTGTTTTTGAAGTTAGACTGTGTGTTATATAGTACTGGCCAGCTTTTTTTTTTTTTTAATATGCTTAAGAACCACCTGTCTGGATTGTGAGAGCTGTGCCCTGCCATTGATTTTGAACCAAGCTAGAACCAACAGCTCATTCGTTAGTATACTGACTTCATTTGTGGTGTAGATGGATTATTATATAAATTGTTTGTAAAACAGGATGCATTAATAAAAGCTTTGGCCACTATTTTGCTCAACATGCACTGGTGTAATGGTTCATTATCATTATTGTATATGGAAAGGTCAGCGTGTTTATGGTATTAGATGCGTACAGTTATGACTTTCCACTGCTTATAGAAGGGAATCACCAACTCCATGCATCAGTAATCTCCTATCAGAATATAAGAGGATCCTTAGCAAGATATAAATCAGCTACCTACCAAAGGAACAGGAAGGAAATGTATGTAAAGGCATATAACTGGACCAGGGGTATCGTTAGGCTAAAAAATGAATTACTAAATACTTACTTAATTAACCCAGGATAAGCTATATCAAGGAGGACTAGTAAGGTCTAATGCAACAGGATAGAGGAAGATTCAAAACTCAAGAAAATAGCCAGGTCTGATACACAGGAAACACAGACTGGACAAAAAAACTCAGGATTGAGGAAGTAACTGGATCAGTAATGAACATTCAAGAAACAGCAGTATGATGTGCTCTAGGGCTAGTGAAACCACCAATGGGCACTGATCCAGAAATGAGTGGGGTTTAAATAGAACCAGGCCCTTGCATCATGTTTGAATTACTGTTGTGCAGGTTTAGTTTATCAGGTGAGACACCAACACAAATGATTAAAAAGGAATGAAGGTTGTGGCTTGCATTATATGAGGCCTATTTAAAGTCAATCATGACCTAGTGAAAATGACGCTGTATTAATACTGCTGAGGCCATGGTTGAATTAATGTGGCTGTGTCAAGATTGGTGAATGACCTAACATGCTGGGACCAGGCTCAATTGATGCAGATGTGTCAATATTGTCAAGTGTCTTTGCATTACCCCCTAAAGAACCGCCTACTTGGTGGTTCCTCCGAGGTTTAGAAGGATACTGGGCATGGGATTGTCTAACTAGGAGATGGGCATGAACATCAGTAGCATCTTTCCAGGATTCTCATCAAGATCATAACCCATTCTATGTACAATGTACTGCAACCTGCCTCTAGAGATATATTGCAATTAACAATCTAGTGTACCTCATATTCCATTTGGTTGTCAGGAACTGAAAGTGTGATAGAGAAGTGGATACAAGTAAGGTGTCTAATTAGAGAAACATAGAAAGTGTTAGGAATGCAGAGGCTTTTAGATAGGTCTAAGGTGTAAGGAACAGATAATGTGGTGGGCCCAAAACATTGGGAAG